CTACCAATTATTCTGTGTGATAGTTTTTGATTCTGTTGATTTCATGCTTGATTTTTTGTCGATTGCCTTCAACCATCTAATAACAACAGTTCATTCTTGGTTACTTAACTGTATGATGACAGAACTTTATCACTGGTGGTTCGTTTTTATAAGCAAGATTTCATAGTGCAAAATAATTTTTGTTACTGTAATGTGATTTATTGTCTGAAATTCTGAAATTTCAATCCTTAGTAGGTCATTAATTCCAATGTACTTCACTTCAGTTTCATTTATCCGCATACTATACATTTGTCTAGAAGATGATTACTACCTTGACAAAAGTGACAAGATGAATGTCGATATCTGACACTCAAAACCGATCTGGTCGACATACAGGTCCATCTAGAGGAGTTAGGAAACCCAGATTTCAAACCTTTGGTGTAGATGAACTCCGTAGTCTGAAAGGACTGAATGAAGTAGGTATCAGTCTTGGTCACTGGAAACCATAGGAACATAGAATAGCTTCTGAAGTTGCTCCACTACCTTGTGGATTAAACTTCAAGTCAAAGGCTCACGGTGGGGGGGGGGTTGGCTGGCCCCTTAAGACAACAACCTGCTTTGGTATAGACCTCTGTCTAGATTACTATACCTACTCTTGCTCAAACTATGAAATTTTGTGTGGTGCTTCTCTTGGTGTCCATAATGCACCAAGTTGATGGCTTAATATTAATAATAAGAATTATACACTAAGCTATGCATAGTTGCGGAACTATTGCCACCAAATCCCCAAAATATCCTAATATGAATTTCCGTATGCATGAAGATCAAGCTTCCAATAAAGAGCAATTAGTGTAGGACTTTTTTTGACCAGAACATTTAGTCATATCAGGAATTATCATAAGATATGAGATAGGCAAATTCGAATGAAGAAATCATCAGTTTAGATTAAGAATCAATAAGTAGTTGTTTAGAGAAAAATAATCTGTGTACTTTATGGAGTTAAAAATTTAAACATTAAAAAAATAAATTCAAGAATAACAATGAAACTTTTGTGCTAAGGACTTGAAAAAAACATGTTGACGTTTCACATCACTTCATTTTTTGTACATAAATGTAAAGTCATGGATGAAACTAAAGTCCTTATTATTAGTGTTTCTGGCTTTGTTTGGAAGTTGTGTCACCGTCATCGTATGCATATTTCTTGCTGTCTACAAGCGCTGCCTTTTTTTTGGATAAGAAAAGTGGTGTAATGAACTCTTTTGCATAGAATAAAAAAATAAACCAATCGCGTTGTGTATCAATTACTTTTTTATTGATTTTTCTGTTTATCTAAACGAGAAAATGTGTATTTTCCATATTCATAAGTATTTGAATTTTGATTGGTTATTTATTCTTTAGTTAATATGAACAGAGGGTGTGTGTGTGTGTTTATATGCTGCATGCCTATCGTGACACAAAATGATTTTTAAATGGTTAGTTATTCTTGAATTTTCTTAAATAAGAGTAATATTATAAACAACAAACCAGTGGAATTATGGATACTTTCTAAAAGAAGATTTTGGAAACAGTTATAAATAAATAACTGTTAAAATTACTTCATAACAATATGTATTCTCTATGATTGGTTTAGTAAGGATTAGATTTGTTTTTACGAGTTGATCACGGACTGATATCAGTTAGAGAACCACTGGAAATCAGGGAGTACTGGACAGCTGCTGTTTCATCAGTCTAGTTTGGGAATCATCGACAGTACGCACCCACCTCCAAGGTTCAAACCCAGGACCTATCGGTTACAAGGCGAGCTCGTATACTAATCAGCCACTGGGACCCGGTTTTTATTTTCTTATGAGTTCTAACTTCTACCAATTCGTGATTTAGTACTAAAAATAAAGACTATTGTTGCATTGCTCATACAATTAGATTTTAGCTTAAACACATTATAATTATTATCTCGTGTGTTGGTTAAGGTGACAAGTAAAATAACTAATTTCCTTTCCTATTCACTTATTTACTCATTCACTCATTGTTGTTGTTGATTTGTCAAAATTAAAGCAATTTTTTGGTATCTCATTTGTCATTAATATTACTGTAGTTTAGCAACTAAAATAGCGTTGTATACAAATCTGTATGAAAGGTCAACACGAGGTCAAAATTAAATGACTCATGTGTGTTTAATTTCGAAAAAAAAATTGGCGAATTAATCACAGTCTATTCGATTGGTTAACAGTGAATAAAAAGGAGCAAAAGAAGGATGATAAGTAAAATGTCTGTTAGGTTCTAAGCATAGTTCAGTGTTAACATTCATTACCAACAGCTTTCTCAAGAATTTATAATTTTGATTGTATGGAGGATTTCATCATCAGCTGACATCATTCAGAGAACCATTGGAAAACCTGGAAGCACTGAACAGCTGTTTCCTCCGTCCTAGTTTGGAACCCTTCAGCAGTACGTACTCACCTCCAGAGTTCGAACCCAGGACGTTCTGGTTACAAGGCGAGCTCATAGAGTATTGAACCACTGCGACTGATGAAGAGTCCCAAACTAGAACGAAACAGCTGTCCAGTACTCCCAGGTTTTTCAGTGGTTCTCTAACTGATGTCAGCTCATAATGAAATCCTGTAACCAATATATATATATATATATATATATATATATATATATGCCTAGTCATCGCCTTCCTCGACAGGAAATGTTAGCTGACATAGGGTCAGGCTGGAAAAGAGCTAGCTAGTGGTGGTCAAACCATAACATGGCCTCACCAGTCAATGAAACTCACAACAGTTAGTTTAAGTCAACCAGTCACGTAGGAAGATGTAGACTTCCTGACTGGTTGGGGACCTCGGGACGGTAAAAACCAATGGCTGGAAACAATTGGTGATATGGCTCAAAATACTCGTTCTCAATGGCTGGCTGACGTAGATGCATCCACTCCTTGTGACTTATGATTTTCAATGAAACTATATTGTTCTTCGATATTACTATTCTTTTTTGTCTCATATCTCTGTTTACTGTCTCTATGATGCATTTCTTTTTACTTTCTTCTTCTTCTTTTGCTTTGTGTGCTACAAAGAGGGAGTGTGGCGACTTGAACTGCTGCACATCGATGCAAAGTTCTATGTCGAGTACAGACAGACAGATAGACCTAGTTTAGGACTTTTCTGCAGTATGCTTCCATATCCCTATCGAAGATTTCGAAAATAGGACCTTCCGGGTATGAAGCGAGATCGTTGATCATTCAGACACTGTGGCGAAATAGGCGCGAGTATTTGTCTTCACACCCGACCTGGTTGGATCCCACTGGTTACGACTTCTCACTAATGCTTAAGGCAGTTTCCTCCAGTAGTCAGTCACTAGTGAGCATCAGTGTTAGTTTGCAGGGGTGTGATCGGTTTCGAGTTTGATTAAGGATTGATATCGATTAAAGAACTACTGAGGGCCAAGTAGCCCTGGTCAGCTTATTTACGTGTAACAAGCTGAAATCGAAAAAAAGTTGTGTATCTGGCAGAATGCAATTAACCAGATAGAATCGGTTAGAAATGTATACATATGTATATATACGTAGTCGATTTTCCTGATTGCAGTAGATTGGATAGTGCGACAGACAGCGAGAAATGAGGAAACTGACATAAAATGAACTCATACAAAAAAACTTGGAGGATCTGGACTTCACCGATGATGTGTCTGGTTTCCCACAAACTGGAAGATATATGAGTGAAAACCAACAAGCTGGCAGAAGAAGCATCAAAGACAAGAATTCCTTCAGGTGAACATAGAGGAAACAGATGTAGGTGATGAAGATTCCTGCCAACATCAACAGCAACAACCACAGACAACAATCAGCATAAATGGGAGGAACCTGAAACAAACAACCTCCTTTACCTACCTACCTACTTGGGAAGCATCTTTTCAACTATAGGCGGAACTGGCGAGGATATCAAAGCTAGGATCGGAAAAGCAAGACATGCTTTCATTACTCCCAAGTCTGTATGGAGGTCAACATCACTCAGCATCGAAAATAAGATCCGGATTTTCAACTCCAATGTGAAATCAGCCAGTGCTACTATACGGATCAGAGACTTGGTGCGTCATGAAGAGGACCTCAAACAAACTTCAGACCTTCATTAACAGTTGTCTTCGCTCAATACTACTCAAGATCAGATGGCTGTCCAGAAAACATCAGCAACAGGGTGTAATCTCTGGGAACGAACCAACATAACAGGAACCGATTGTGAAAAAAATAGGCAGGAAGAAATGGAGATGGATTGGCTAGCCATACTCTTAGGAAACCATCAAGTGACATCACTAGACAATCCGTTGCTCGAGTGGAACCCGAAAGGGAAGCAGCGAGTTGGTTGTCGGTGAAAGGGTGACATGGAGGAGGTCATGTGAAGAGGAGATGAAAGCATGTGTGCAGACTTGGAGCCAGGTGAAAACTCTGGCAGGGAACCGAACGCAATGGAGACGTGTGTCTGAAGCCCTATGTTCCTCTGGGAATTAAAGGAAATAATAATAATACATTTATTGGAATTTTTAAGCAGAATGTATTAATTGTCTAACGAAGACTTTCTTGTGTGACGTGTGCTACTGACAGGATTTATCGGTAGTATGTAAAGAGACATTATCCGGCATGGAGATAGAGAGGTAGATTTGACGTCAAGGTGTGGAAATTAACCAGTATTGAGGTGAAACATGGGAGAGGTGAAAAGGAAGACAAATAAACAATACGGAAAGGTTTTAGTAGCACAACATTGAAGATGTGTGCAAATGACGATTTTAGCATAATGTATACACAATTTTCTCTTATACCTATATCAAATTGCAAATAAACATTCTATTACCAACTCCTCTTGTGTTCTACCGTTTCAATTGTAGTAGGGTTATGGAAAAGTTTCTAAGATCACAATCAAGACAAAACTACTTCTGTCAACTGTATCCATATAAGTATCATTTTACCTTGTACCTGTTTTAATAGAAGCTTGTATCATTAAACCATAATTTTTTTATTCTTTCCATCTAACTAGTCACCGAAATCATATAACTGTGCCAAATATATGAATGATGAAAATTTCAAAGAAGCAGACGACAGTTCAGAATTTTCCACTAGGAAGAAGTCATCGATAACAGGAACTCTTAAATTTAATATTTCTCCTAATCATACTGTAGAATTTTCGGTTAGCGCTAATCTACTGGCTGTAAAACAGTGTATTTCACTTTTGGATAACAATTCAGGTCAATTCAATGGTGTGCCATTGTCAACAACAAAAGACTATTTAACTGAAATAAATGGTGTTTCTTCATCATTACCATTCACTTGTTTACCGTCTTATCGATCTGTTGATTCTGTAATAGGTGAGTTTGTTTTGTTTTAGCCACCAGTTAAAATGTGTTACAACACTCTTTGATATGAGTGAAGTCAATAGTTTAATTTAATTTTTGATTTTCCCATCGATTGATTGGACCGAAGTGCTCGGTCTCAGGTTGACATGTCGGCTTCTTGTGCAGATGCTTCGATGATATCTGGGCATGTAATTAGAAGTTAATTGGTGGATGGTGACTAGCAGTGGAATCCAGGATAACACGCATTTCATCCTATACGGGACTCGTGGTCAGCTAGATGTACCTGCATTCCTCAGTGGGTGATGATGTTCCCACCGAGGCTCGAAGCCAGTGCCTACTCCAAGCGGTCTAATGGATAACGCTTTGGCGTTTGAAACTATAGGCCCTGGGTTCGAGCCTCGGTGGGAACATCATCACCCACTGGGGAATGCAGGCACATCCAGATGACGAGTTCCAAATGGGACGAAACGCGTGTTAACTTGGATTCCACTGCTAGTCACCATCCACCAATTAAATAAGAAGTCAATAGTTATTTCTATTTTTTTAAACTACTGAGAACAGCAACAATCGGTTTATTCATCAAACGTGATTGAAAGAGTGTAATATTCATTGGGATGGGATACCAATATTCAAATTAGCACTGAAATGAAGTTGATGTGTCGGATGTGTTTAATGAACGGAGTTGTCAAATTCACAAATTAATTTATTTCTGTTTTTTTGTAAACACTACGCTAAATAGTTCAGTAATTGCGTGATTATGTTGACCTTTTTCTTTAAATGAAAGACTTTTTTTAATCAATAAGTTTATCTCCGAAACTATCTCATGACAACTGGTGACTTCATTTCAAAATATGTAAAAATAATATATATATATATATAATGTGAAAAGTTATATCAATAAGTTATTGAGTATCACTTACTCCAACTAACAACTTTTACCAATTATAGAAAAATGATTCATTGGTTAAGTGTTTGTTTCTTAAATGATGCGGCCAATTAGGGGTGTAGTTCAGGCATTGAAGTTATTTCACAACGTCTGAACGATAGTGTCGCATCCCACTATGTTTTCCGATTTGTTTTGCGTGTATGGTCACATGTACACATAGGGAGGATCCATTGATCTCCTCTGATCGGGACCACACAACACACTCCTAAATACCTGCCACAAAAAAACGAATCAAATAACCCTAATTCAGTCGACCCTCCAAACAGATACCCAACGTCATCTATCACAAAGAACATTATACAGATGGGTTATAAAGTTGATTTCCGTAGTGTCTTTTAGCCTATATTACCAACGGGTTTAGGTCATATATTTAAATTTACTGAGGGTCCTATCCAATTAAAGGGTTTAAACCTGTTTTATGTGCTCAAAAATTATTTGTCATTACTTTGATCCCGACTTTGTAATCCAATTTTAAATCAAAGGTTTATGTTATGCGGTAATATATTCACCCTCTTTTCCCATGCCTTCCTCTTCCTACTTTTTATTTGTGGTCTTGACTCGTAGACGTTTCGATCCAACTTTGACCCTTTGTGTTGCGGTAGTTTTTACATCACTATATATATATATATATATATATGGCAAGTATGTGTGTTCAGCGAGGCGTTTGGAGTAAGCAGAGGAGTCAGACAAGGGTGCTTATTATCACCAATCATAATCCTAATTGTGGTGGACTGGATTATACGTCAGACAGTGGGAAACGAGAAGACAGGGAGGGATATCCTGGACCGACGTGAAGAACCTAGAAGACCTGGATTTCGCGCGTTGATGATTTATGTTTGATGTCACACAAAATCGAAGACTTACAAGCGAAAACCGACAGACTGGTCGAAGAAGCAACCGGCGAAGACAGGACTCCAGGTAAACATAGACAAGATGGAGGTTATGAAAATAACCAACCAACAACAGCAACAGCATCCAGCGTCAATCACCATCAACGGGAGGGATTTGAAAGAGGTTACTTCATTCACTCACTGATCTAGGGAGCATCGTCTCAAATACAGGAGGAGCGGACGAGGATGTCAAATCGACCGAGAATCGGGAAGGTGAGAAACACATTCATCAACCTAAAATCAATCTGGAAATCTTCGTCACTCAGCCAGCATCACCAACAAAATTCGGATTTTCAATACAAACATAGAGTCAGTTTTTCTATACGGATCAGAAACTTGGCGGGTGGGTCACAAAGAATATTTCCAACAGCCTGTTGCAGACGTTACCTTTATTAACAACTGTCTTCGCTCTATACTGAAGATCAGATGGTTGGAAAGAATCACCAACAAGAAACTATGGCTGGGAACAAACAAAACAAGAACAAACCAATCGCCAACCAACAAATATGCAGGAGAAAGTGGAGATGGATTGGACACTCGATCGCTGAGGAGGCCGCTGGGTGACATCGCGCGCGCGTCAGGCCATTGCTCGAGTGAAACCAGGCCGAAAGGGAAGCAAGCGGCGAGTGGGACGTTAGTGCGAGGGTGACATGGAGATGGTGTGAATAGGAGTTGAAACAGTATGGACTAACATGGATGGAGGTGAAAAGTACAGCAGAAGGAAGACAGAAGTGGCAAGTGGAGATGTGCAGTTGAAGCCCTATATTCCACTAGGAACCCAAGGGAACAATAATAATAAATAATAAAATGTGTGTGTGTGTGTGATGAGAATGTCCGGAATGTGTGGTTCAATAAGCCTTACATGTTTCAGATAAATTATATTTTATTGTTTTTTGTCGATATTTCAGTAAAGTATTGTTTATCAACAATTAAATGACACGTTATACATTCGATGAGTAAACAAGATTTCAATTCAATTGACAACTTTTTGCATAGTTAAGTATTTCACGCTTTGTAGTTTCTCTTCGATGGTAGCAATACTACTACATTTCCTAGCCCTTTTGCATAATAATTTTTAATTAGCGCTGTTAGTTGTTGTTAGTTTTACTGAATGAACTTCACTGATTGGTTCCTGTTGGGATAAACTATTCCAAAACGTATTTTTTGAAATTGCATTGAGCTTTGTTTAGCACCTAAGGCTACAGAAATATCGATTACTGCTACCTGATGATTGCGTCGGTAGTTCAGGGGTAGGGCACTCGCCAAACACTCACGTGGTCCGGCGTTCGGTTCCCGACCGCTGCACCCCTAAACCTTGCCTAGATGGTAGGAATCCCAGTAAAGAGGGAAGGTTGCGCACCTCACAAAAACAAAACTCCAGCTACTGAAACTTCAAACCTGAAGTTTGAAGCCCTGTGCTGCTTTTGCAACGCAAAGGAATAGTAGTAGTTGAAATAGCAGCTAGATGATGTTTAAGTCGTTTACATAATTGACTTCTAGAAGACGAAATCAATCATGGACGGAATATGTTGACAGTACCGTCTCTAGGTTAACGGTATACGTTCGAATCTTTGTCAGGTTTTGAGTTTTCGCATACTTTAAGAATATGTTTTTATGAAGTACTAGAAAATAGTCCGCATTCTCAGCTGGTTAAATCTAGTAACATATCATTAGTCTAGTGCCGACATGTAGTGTTGATTAAATCTTGACTATGCAAACATCCGTTGTTACACCTAGGAATTATAGAATGACTTCTTTTATGCTTTTAATCAATTATTAGTCGAGTTTTTTCCTTCTGCAACATATAGGCGATGGGGAATTATGTTCCCTGGGGGAATTTTAAACATAAATTAATGTCACAGTGTAATATCTCCTAACTATTAAATCATCTTCTGCATCTTCATCAAATAGTTTGTACAAAATTTGTTTGTAAAACTGATATATGGATTGTCGAACAGCATTTTTACTTCTGAAGATTTGCATTTAGTTTTCTGATGATATATATAGTGGCTAACACCATTGTATTTTATAATTTTTAAATGTTACGTAGAGACTTTAATCGGTGGATGGTGACTAGCAGTGGAATCCAGGGTGCGCATTTCGTCCTATTTGGGACTCGTGGTCAGCTGGATGTACCTGCATTCCTCAGTGGGTGATGATGTTCCCACCGAGGCTCGAAGTCAGTGCCCACTCCAAGCGGTCTAATGGATAACGCTTTGGCGTTTGAAACTATGGGCGCTGAGTTTGGGCCTCGATGGGAACATCACACTCATTGGGTAATGCAGGTACATCCAGCTGACCACGAGTCCCAAATAGGACGAAATGTGCACCCTGGATTCCACTGCTAGTCACCATCCATCGATTAAATTCTAATTATATGCCCAAACATCGTCGAAGCATCTGCACAAGAAGCCGACATGTCAACCTGAGACCGAGCACTTCGGTTCAATCAATCGCCAGGAAAATCTAAAATTCAATTAAGTTACGTAGAGACTATCTGTAGGAATTCATGGACCTAGATTATAGGTTTTCAGAAGTCTGAACAAACCTTTTCTGTAAACAGATTTCGACGTATCATTAGCTTCTCCCTGTCATACAAAAGTGGCGAAACCTAACATTTTTTTTGTAACATTAAGTTTCACTTTTTAGATAATTTTAAAAGACGACTCTGGTGGAGCTGTGTGGCCTGAGTTGATTAGGTGCTCGAGAATCGAGCTAGTAGTTGGCTTTTATTATATTTACCGAACATACATGTGTCATACCTTTGGGATATGTGACAATGATGCTGACATGGAAATGGTAGTAAGGGATATCAGTAGTTATCACGATTCTGTCAAATCCATGAAGGAATTAGAGATGAACTCTGAAGTTCATTTTTTGATTGATCTTTCAAAAATGAGACATGAGTTTTCTCTTAAATCTACAGAAAACCAAGATGGAGTGATGAATAGACGACTTTTCCTTTGTGAAGAAAAAGAGACCTGATCACAGTCCTTACCTTCAAGAATGAGGATACACACCAGTGATACAATCCAAAGTGAACTGGAGAGACTCAGATAAGTCCTCGTGAATATACTGCAAGATCCATCGAGAAAAGCATAAAAGTAAAGCAGAAGCCTCAAGGAATCTCATTGGCGCCGAAAAATGGCTACGTATGGCTGTTAGATTTTAAGGGGGTACTGTAGCTGAGACTCTGAAGATTTACTTATCCAGGTCTTTGAGGAAAGCTTTCTTTTCAGTCAAGCTATGCATCAATTTCCATAGTCGGCAAATGATTAATGGATGTATAGAGGATATACTACCGCTTTAGGTCACCTCAATGTGTGTTTATAAATTCATTTGCTTCTCTGGAGCTGGCTATATTGGCAATACAAAGAGGTATACTTTCCAAACGCATTTAGGATCATTATCCGGTATGGTCATCAATAGGACAATATTAAACAATTATTAGTTCAATTCACATCTGTCATTAGCAAGTTAAGAATTTTATCCTTGAGGAAATTCATGTCTTTCATGAGATTCGAATTTGTGTCAGCCGATAAAATTTACCGCTAGGCCAATGAGGCTTTAGTTAATCCCTTATAGGAGTATATAATTTAGCAATAGAAGGCAAGACACGGAAGCCAAGATATATTTTCAACTGATCAAACCGCTGTTTATATATTTTTATACAGTTTCTATTCTTTAACCAATCACTGGGCGTGTAGTTTTGGCTTACATTAAACGAAATGAAATAGAATGTTCAACTATACATAGTATTCTGTTGCTAACGCAGTATTGAATTGTGAGAATATGTGAGAATAATATTCCATTGGTACACATTGTATGTATCACACCACCATAATAATGTGAAAGAATCAATCACTGCTGAAGTGGTCTTACATACTGGCCATTGTGATAGTGACTTTTCAATGACTAACTTGTAAACAAGTTTCTGTTAAATAGTAAGGAGGATCTTTTGGACTCACTTTTACTAAGAAATTAGTTCTGAAGGTGTTAAATCAAGCTTAATGGTAAAACATACACAATTGAATGCCCAAAATGGTGGTGTTAGTGGCGGTGTGTGTGTGGGGGGGGAGGGGGAACCAGCGGTTTACATCTAAAGGTATTAATTACACTCGATTTACTAAAAGTATCTGTTATTTTAATTCAGCTAACCCATTACCAAATAGAACTAATTATAAGCTATGTATAGTCATTGTCCTTTCTTTTCATGTTCTATCTTTTTTCTTTTTGTACTTTCTGTTTACACTAGTTTCTTCTACATCTTCCGTAATAAATACAAACAAAGAGAAACAAGTGAATTACAATACTAATAATACTATCCATCAACATAATCATATAACATCTAGTTATCAGAATGATTATTCATTTGCATCGCATAATTTGATTAATATGTCATCATTAAATCCCCTACTCGATGAATATCGTGATCGTAGTCAAGATGAATTACAGGCTGCACGAACAATTCTATCATTAGCTCATGGAGCTACTGATCTCATTTTTAATATGGGACAAGTTAACATGGATATAGACAGTAACAATGCGCCAATTACCAATAATATTAATAATAATCATAATAATAATGACGACAATTTGTGTGAATTAAACACATACAACACTGAAGTTGTTACTAATATAACTGAATCTAGAATATCAGGTGAGTTTATAATAGATAAAATCATATTTTGTTTTAAAAGTCTATTTCATTAGCAATCTTATTACTTTTTTTAAGAGAAAAACTAACTCACATATAAATCAAAGCATGTTTTGACGTGAATTACTAAACTCTTTATAAAAAGTGCAACACACTAAATGAGGTAGTTTTTTTAAGATTTAAGATTGATTTAAATGTTTAATGTTGTGAGTTGAAAAGATGGAGTTACTGACTGATTGTGTATGTGTGTGTGTATGTAGGTGTTATCCTGTGGTATTTTACCAGACCGATATTATTTGAATCGTTCACTTTTTAAATAGATTGAAATATCTTTTGATATCGTAACTTTCATCACTCATCACTACATCAATAATAGTACGCCAGCTGGAGGACTACTATAGATGATAGTCTTATCATTAGTTAACAACTTACTCTGTCTTCTTTCTATTCAGTAAGATTACGATTAAAGTGAGGAGATCTACACCTAGACAGCTAGTGTAATGATGAATGGACAATAAGATATGACATGCGGCATGGCTTACCTGATGAACAGTTGATCCTCATAGGTCCTCAGTTAGTCGACCGCCGAACTAATAGTCCCATTGGTTGTTGGTTCGGATTCTGACGTGGTCTAGATTTCCAGTTCACCTCCAGTCATCCACCAATACATGGTGAAGTCTGTTCAACTAAAACTGAATGACCATCTGGTGCGTCGGTGGAACAGTGGTTAGGACTCTCACCGACCATGCACATAGTCCGAGGTTCGAGCTCACGCCGACGCACACCTGATATCTTTGGTCGGCCTGCGAAATTTGGGCTACCGATATCCACGTTGAAAATTCCATACTTGTACCAAAAATATGGTGCGGAATCAAGCTGTAATAGAAAAATTAAAAAAATAAAATATTTAAATTATCGTAATATATGACTAATATTCTTTTGTGATGTATCAGGTGAACAAATATGTGTGAATATCGATCAGATCATCTGAAAACGGATTATGATATATGTGTGTCTGTCCGTCTGTTTTCGACATAGAACTTTGCGCCGATGTGTGGCAGTTCAAGTCGCCACACTCCCTCTTTGTAGCACACAAAGCAAAAGAAGAAGAAGAAAGTAAAAAGAAATGCATCATAGAGACAGTAAACAGAGATATGAGACAAAAAAAGAATAGTAATATCGAAGAACAATATAGTTTCATTGAAAATCATAAGTCACAAGGAGTGGATGCATCTACGTCAGCCAGCCATTGAGAACGAGTATTTTGAGCCATATCACCAATTGTTTCCAGCCATTGGTTTTTACCGTCCCGAGGTCCCCAACCAGTCAGGAAGTCTACATCTTCCTACGTGACTGGTTGACTTAAACTAACTGTTGTGAGTTTCATTGACTGGTGAGGCCATGTTATGGTTTGACCACCACTAGCTAGCTCTTTTCCAGCCTGACCCTATGTCAGCTAACATTTCCTGTCGAGGAAGGCGATGACCAGGCATACGTAACACATGTACTAACCATCTCAGTCGATGTAATTTCACAGGCTCGTCGATTGATTTCCCCTCCTTACCTAGCACTCGACTGACTCCCTAACCTCAGTATTGCTCACTTTATTATACCACTTCACACGGGAGATAGAGCGCAGGTATGATATATGTAAATAATGAATGAAGTTGAAACTTGCCTCATTATAACACTCAGTCACTTATTTTCATTCTGTAAGCAGTATGATTTAGATTGGAATGAAAAAAAACTAGCTGAACAGTTTGTTGTCTAGGTCATCGAACTCTGAATGGTTGAAATGATCTGGTTGGAATCCATATCTCCTGTAGCTTATTTGTTTAAGTCACAAATCGGTAATCTGGTGGCTTTTATTTCTATTCCTGTCGAAACAGATTTTCATTGTCAGCAACAGTTAACAACTTTTGTTTTTAAACAAATAATAATAAAAGGATAACATGAAAAGACTATGAATTTCTTTAGACTTCGTCTACTTTAAGTAGACAAGAATGACTATGTAATGTAGAAATTAGATTTATCTGTTGATGTGTAACTAAAGTTTAAGGATTAGTGTGTAAAGAATAATAAAGAGGCTAACGAAGTTTTGGATGCTGAAGGTATATCAAAAGGTAAAGAGATGATATAGCAATATATAAACAATCAGTGTATAATTAACAAACAGTTTTGTTGGTGTCCTTCGAAAGTTATTTGGGATACAGTGTGTGCGATGTTCCATCCCGAATGTACTTTACATCTAATAATTATCTCAGACTAAGATTCAAACAACTATTTTCAAAACAAATGTTGGTTTCGCGGAGATTTGGTTGGTTACAGAATTTAATCATGAATTGACATCGGTCGGATACAACCTGGGAGCACTGGACAGCTGTTTCCTCCGTCCTAGTTTGGGACTCTTCATCAGTACGCACTCACCTTCAGAGTTCGAAACGCGGGCCTTCCGGTTACAAGGTAAGCTCGCATACCATTAGGCAACTGGGACCCGATCCAATGATCCATAACATTGGCTAGTGGTCGTGCTACAGCGTGGATTGATAGAAGTGAGAATTCACCGGCCGTTGTTTAGGGTCCCAGTAGCTCACCTTGTAACGGGAAGGCCCTTGGTTCGAACCCTGGTGGTGGGTGCATGCTGATGAAGAGTCCCAAACTAGGACGGGGGGAACAGCTGTCCAGCACTCCCAGGTTTTCCAATGGATTTCTAACCGATGTCATTAGGAAATCCTGTATTTTCAAAACATTACATTATTTTATGCATTGAAGTCGTCAGTCAAGTCCTTATAAATTGCAAGCGTAAATATCGCGTTTTGTTTTGCATTGACATGTTATTCAGTAGTAGATTGCCATATATGATATAAACAACTTGCTGTTTGTATGTTTGTTTATAGACACAAAACCATAATCACAAACATTCAATTAACCGACAAAAAAAGAAACATTTGCTTTGTTTTCATATTTTTCAGCTGAAAAAAAATTAGTGCTGATAACACAAGGCGTTTGATGACATTCAGAGGATGTTATTTTCGTTTTTTGCTATTTTAAGTTAAAGTATTTGATAATTTAATCTTTTCTTAACTAGCTAATATTAGTATTTTATGTTTCGCCTGTTCAGCTATAATGATTATCAATAGTTCTATTGTAGATGATAATAAGATCAATAATTTACTCTCCATTCCAACTAACCAATTTACTTGTCTAGTAACTAGCATGATTTAGGTCAGCACCTACGCTTTTATTTTATATCTGTACAGTAAGTAAGCAGCCAATCAGATTTAGGCAAATTAGCTGAAATCTTAACCAATGGCTAGCCTTATTTTCATTAAAATTTTTCAATCGAGTACATTCTAATTTTTTATGTAGCGACTAACTCCATAGTGAGGTAACAACTCCGGAAATGAAATAACAAGGCTTTAAATTCTTTCAGATAGCAACTAAACACTTGTTTTTTTCAAATTTAAATGCAATTAGATACTTAGTTGACTTGTTTTGTTGAAATTTTCATCTGATTTTTTAATTCGACTTTTTGGTGTGAATTCTCGTTTTCTGAATCGTGATGTTGTACTGGATCGTTGTTGTATAACTAATCGATTTGCTTGATCCAATTTTATCAGGCTACTAAGTGTAAGATATTCGTGGAATAATTCATAACTGAATTCGTATGTGTAGTGAGGTCAGTATATTGTTTGCTTGGTAGTGAAGACTATACAGAGGGCTAGTTTCGCATATGCCAGTTCATGCCGTCTCTGGCGTAGACGTGATATCCAGCTATCGACCAAAGGGCGGGTGTACTGCTCATCAGTCCGCTCCGTCCTCCTTTATGGCTGTGAGACCTGGCCACTGGAAGTGGAAGATATGAAAAGATTAGCTGTCTCTGATCATAGGTGCCTGCGCTCTATCTCCCGTGTGAAATGGTTTAATAAGGTGAGCGATATCGAGCTTAAGCGACGTTCGAGTGCTAGGCAAGGAGGGGAAATCAATCGACGAGCCTGTGAAATTACATCGACTGAGATGGTTAGTACATGTGTTACGTATGCCTGGTCATCGCCTTCCTCGACAGGAAATGTTAGCTGACATAGGGTCAGGCTGGAAAAGAGCTAGCTAGTGGTGGTCAAACCATAACATGGCCTCACCAGTCAATGAAACTCACAACAGTTAGTTTAAGTCAACCAGTCACGTAGGAAGATGTAGACTTCCTGACTGGTTGGGGACCTCGGGACGGTAAAAACCAATGGCTGGAAACAATTGGTGATATGGCTCAAAATACTCGTTCTCAATGGCTGGCTGACGTAGATGCATCCACTCCTTGTGACTTATGATTTTCAATGAAACTATATTGTTCTTCGATATTACTATTCTTTTTTTGTTTCATATCTCTGTTTACTGTCTCTATGATGCATTTCTTTTTACTTTCTTCTTCTTCTTTTGCTTTGTGTGCTACAAAGAGGGAGTGTGGCGACTTGAACTGCCACACATCGGCGCAAAGTTCTATGTCGAAAACAGACAGATAGACAGTGAAGACTATCTACCACATTAATGTTGTGAAATAAAACATTATTACCTACTATGTTCAAGTACAATGCACTCATCTTTTTGACGAACGTAAACTTTAGGCACTAGACACAGGGGTGAATGCACCAATCATTGTGATACACTCGGTCAGAGCAAGACAGTGAAACCAAGTAAATAGCATTGTATTAATGGAAAAAAAAATACTGAGTGAAGTGTTATGGATATTAAACAGGGTTATGTTAGGGAAATATTAAGCTTAGGTTTAGGCTAGAGACAGGTTAGAGTGAGGTTAACTTAATTAGGAAGGTATTAATTAGGGTTAGGGTTGAGTAAGAGGACTAGATTTACCTTCTAACCCTATGGTTCTTTCCGAAGTCATTGGTGCTCTCACGCCTCATGAATGATGAAAGTCTAACTTCTCCATCTTTCCTCCTTATATAAACTGGTATGAAGGTTAGTGACCTTCGGATAGTATTCTTACACTATATCATTGTGTAAACCGTAGCATATTTAATGAGATAAAAAAGCTCAAACCATAAAAAAACTACAAATATAATAGGAATTATATATCCGCATATGTATAATTGACATTACGTAGACTACTTGGTGGGAAAAATGTCCTTAAAAATGACCAAATTTTTATGGATATTGTGCGTTGGTGGCACAGCGGTTAGGACGCTCGCCGACCATGCACATGGTCCGGGGTTCGATCTCCGGCCGACGCACTCCTTTACCTCGCTAAGTCAGAAATAATGCTGGTAAAGAGGAAAGGTTGGGCATGAGGCTAGCAACCCCATCCTGTAAAAATAAAACACTCCTACAGAAACTTCAAGCCAGTAGCTTGAGGCCGTTTGTTCCACTGGGGAACGTGAAGGAAAAATTATTATTATTTATGGATATTAAATTTTCATTTTATTCAAAAGTATGCACCTTCTCTGTTCAGTCAACCAATTCATGTTGCTCTCATATAAAATTGTGATGTGAACAATTAAATGATTATTTTTTTTTAAATTGTGTATTCAAGATACTCACTTGAAGGTGAAATACTGGACATCACAGTAGTAGGAAGAAGTCACTTGAATATTCCCAGTGGGAGGGAGTTTTTGCTAGACAAATTCTTATCAAACTTTGTCTAGTAAACACAACCTTGTGTCTTATTCAAATTGATGTTTGTTCTTGTTGACTTTTTTCTAAAACAATTTTCCCCGAAAAAAAAATAAAATAAAAACTAAAATGATATAAATCAAGCAGAAAAAAATCTCAGCAATTTGCTTCACAGAAAGTTTTTCTGTTACACTTAACGACGAAATATGTATTAATTCGATCAGTTATTGAAAACATTTTCAAAATATGGTTCACTAATATTCACATCAGCTTAACTATTCGTTTCTTTTCCTTCACGTTCGCAGTGGAACATAGGGCCTCAAGCTAGAGGCTTGAAGTTTCTGTAGGAGTGTTTTATTTTTACAGGATGGGGTTGCTAGCCTCATGCCCAACCTTTCCTCTTTACCAGCATTATTTCTGACTTAGCGAGGTAAAGGAGTGCGTCGGCCGGAGATCGAACCCCGGACCATGTGCATGGTCGGCGAGTGTCCTAACCTCTGTGCCACCGACTCTAACTATTCGTTTACTTTTATATTGTTATTGTTCCTTTGGGTTCCTAGTGGAATATAGGGCTTCAACTGCACGTCTCCACTTGCCACTTCTGTCTTCCTTCTGCTGTACTTTTCACCTCCATCCATATTAGTCCATACTGTTTCAACTCCTATTCACACCATCTCCATGTCACCCTCGCACTAACGTCCCACTCGCCGCTTGCTTCCCTTTCGGCCTGGTTTCACTCGAGCAATGGCCTGACGCGCGCGCGATGTCACCCAGCGGCCTCCTCAGCGATCGAGTGTCCAATCCATCTCCACTTTCTCCTGCATATTTGTTGGTTGGCGATTGGTTTGTTCTTGTTTTGTTTGTTCCCATAGTTTCTTGGTGATTCTTTCATTTCTTTCATACCTCGCCTAGATTACTAGCTCGCTAGTTTTCTAATCGGTCCCAACCCCGGATAAAGAGGGAGGGTTGGGGCGTGGTGCTAGCAACTCCACTCCCAAAACTTAACCAAATTGCTGCAGAAACTTCAACGCATAAATATATTTACTTTCATATAAAATGTACAAATTATTATTGTAATAAGCATAAATACACAATCAATATTCCTTCATTCATTCATCGTGATTTAGGTGATGAAGTTGGTGGAAATTCTCAGTGGGTGTTGAAACACACAACTGATAGTTTTCAGCAAGGGAATGAATTAAACAGCAAGTCAACTGCAATAATGCCATCTATCACTGGTTCAATACAATCAAATAGTCAGTCAAATATGGTGTTAGAAAATAATATATCTCAGACGACAATTTTGCATGATTCAGATAAGTGTATTTCACAGGCGATCAATACTGCTAGCACTACCGCTACTACTATTATACCTGCCATTCAAACTGTTACGGATTATTTGATGACCACCACTACAGCAGCTGTTACGATGCTAGCAACTACAACAACAACTGCTACTACTAACACCACTTCACAGTCTTCGAAGACTGTTTCAGATACATGGCATCCAATTTCTAGTTCACAGAATAATATCAGCAGTAATAATAATAACAGTAATGCAGTACATAGAAAAATTCGTCCACCACCTAAGAAACGTTTATCAACAAATTATTCACGATCAAATTCTTCTCGTTCATTGGCAGACAGTAATAACACACCAACAAGTAAACAAAAATTCTTTTCTTTTTCTTTATTTTTTTCTCCAGTCTTTTTACAATAATTTTCATGACATTAAGAAAAAAAAAGAAGTTAAACATGTAAAATGGGGATGAGTTAATTTTTCGTTTGTTTGTTTCTTTTCAGTTTTCTGTTGCAAACATCAGAGAATCAATAGTAGTTGGCACCAACGGACTGATTGGCGATGAAACCTCAGCACGGATCCGAAAAGCTCGAGCTGCTTTCGCTGACTTACACCATCTCTGGCGTAGGCGTGACATCCGGTTATCAACCAAGGGACGTGTGTACTGCTCATCAGTTCGCTCCGTCCTTCTCTATGGCTCTGAAACATGGCCAATACGCGTTGAAGACATGAAAAGGTTGACTGCTTTCGATCATAGATGTCTGCGATCTCTGTCTCACGTTAGGTGGTTTCACAAGATAAGTAATGTTGACGTTAGGCGTAGAGTGTTGGGCAAAGAGGGAAAATCAATCGACGAGGTTATAAAGTTACATAGACTAAGATGGCTAGGTCACGTGGTGCGCATGCCTAACCACCGCCTCCCCCGACGGGCATTGTTAGCTGATATAGGTTCAGGTTGGAAAAGAGCCAGTGGTGGCCAAACAAAAACATGGCATCAATCCATGAAATCCTTGACAGTTAAACTGAGTCAAGTAGAGAGATGCAGACTCCCGGGTTGGGGCCCTCGGGACTCTAGGAATCAATGGCTGGAGACAATAGGTGACATGGCTCAAAATCGTTGTCAATGGCGCAGATGTATTCAATCTCTGTAATCTTTCATATTCCTTTCTACCATTACCCATTCTGTTTTACTCTTATATCTGTCAAACTCTATAAATTCTCTTCACTCATCTTCTTGTCTACCTCTGTGCTATTTGGAAGGTGGCAACTCGAACTGGTGCACTTCGGTGCCAAGTTCTATGTTGAATCCAGACAGACATAGTAGTTGGCTCACATGCTTAGTGAATAGATAGATATATAAGTGGTATTTAAAACAGTTGAAAGATAATGTAACGAGTATGAGGATGCCGGCGCATAGAATGTAGACACTGAACTGAATAAGTTTACATCGATTCACTAGTGCAATTATCAGATAGTTAGGATTTTTTAAAATTGCATTTGAAACCAGACTAAAAACTGATTTAAACGAACTTCATTTGATTATTTCGGTGCATTGGTTTTGTGGTGCTGTACTGTAACATCTACTTCTTTATGCTGTTTCACCTTGTCTTGTATTTATACATCTCATCCAACAGTTGTACGACAATGCTGCATGCCAAGTAATCCATAACGGGAAACTTACGGAAGCCTTCGAAGTGAAGACAGGAGTGAGGCAAGGCTGGCTGCCTACTATCGCCAATGATTTTCCTGATTGCAGTAGATTGGATAATGCAACAGACAGCGGCGGGCAACGAGGAATCAGGCATAAAATGGACCCACACAAAAATCTTGGAGGATATAGACTTCGCCGATGATATATGTCTGATTTCCCACAAACTGGAGTGAAAAGTAGCAAGTTGGCTGAAGAAGCATCCAGAGAAGGATAGGCCTTCAGGTGAACATGGAGGAAACAGATGTAGTTGATGAAGATTCCTGGGCAACACCACCACCACCACCTACAACAACAACAGACAACAATCAGCCAGTATAAATGGGATGAACCTGAAAGAAACAACCTCCTTTATCTACCTACCTGGAAGCGGAACTAACGAGGATATCAAAGCCAGAATCGGAAAAGCAAGACATGCTTTCAATACTCTCAAGTCTGTGTGTAGGTCAACATCACTCAGCATGAAAATGAAAATAAAACCCGGATTTTCAACTCCAATGTGAAGTCAGTGCTACCATACGGGTCAGAGACTTGCACTGCGTGTCATAAAGAGCGTCTCAAGCAAACTTCAAACCTTCATTAACAGTTGTCTTTGCTCAATACTCAAGATCAGATGGCCAGAAAAGATCGGCAACAGGGATCTCTGGCAATGAGCGAACCAACCCAGCAGGAACCGATTGTGAAACAAATATGCAGGAAGAAATGGAGATGGATTGGCTAGCCATACTCTGAGGAAACCATCAAGTGACATCACTAGACAAGCCATTGCTCGAGTGAAACCCGAAAGGGAAGCGGCGAGTTGGTCGTCCAAAGGTGACATGGAGGAGGTCATGTGAAGACTTGGAGCCAGGTGAAAACGTTGGCAGAAAACGGAACGCAATGGAGACGTGCAGCTGAAGCCCTATATTCCTCTGGGAATTAAAGGGAATAATAATAATACAATAATAGTAACTGGAATAGTTACACAATGATATCCCAGTTCATATGTTGACAGTGTATGTTTTTAGTTTCTAGGATGGTGTGTTATATAATAAGTATTGTCTTCAAATCCTTCTAGCTATTAAGTGTCGGAGAAAACAGGAGTAAACATATGCCTGAAATGAATATGTGAAAGAATAAATGCGAAATAAAAACAAGAGGTTGAAAAAAATTAAAACTAACCAGAAAATTTCTCATCGTTCATGAAAGAAAAGTGAATTTTTGTGGCTCAGTGGTAAAGGCGCTCGACTCCCAACTAGTGGGTTACAGGTTTGAATCCCGCTGTATCTACCGAGATTTAGGCAGACACATAGTATCACCACCCCCCCCCTCCATACACACAACAGGTGTATCTCATTGCCTCAACTGCATGGAATTCAAAACAGTTGTTAAGTAGCATTCCATTTCATTTTCTTCATGAAAAACAATAGTTTTACTAACAACACTACTATTGATTCATATTTGTATATTGTATAATACTTTTTTGTACTAAAGATTTCACTCAATACATAGAATTGCATTTCTTACATAGAACTTGGCTGATTAGTAGAGATGATTTTGTTGACCTCGTTTAACCACTGTGGATAAGTTGTTCATATTCAACTTCTAATCCAGTGAAGTAAAGCAGTTATAAGATATTTAGAAATTAAGAATTTAAAATAATGTGGTTTTGTTGATTGGATGGAGGATTTCATCATGAGCTGACAACATTCAGAGAACCATTGGAAAACCTGAGAGCACTGAACAGCTGTTTCATCCGTCCTAGTTCGGGACTCTTCATTAGTACACACCTACCCCCACGGTTCGAACCCAGGACCTTCTGGTTACAAGGCCAGCGAGCTTGCATACCATTGAGCCACTGGGACCCGATCCAATTGTCCTTGAATTCTAACTTCTGCCAATTCGCGACATAGCGCGACCACTTCGCAATGCCTTCTTCGATGAGTTACTGCCTCATCTTCAAGCTGCTGTACCCTACTGGTCATGGCTTCTCACTAGAATCGCAGGTTAACTGCCTGAATAGGGGTAGTCGCTAGTAGCCATCAGATTAATTTTCAAGTATTGGTTTTGTAGGGATTTTGTTGGATTGGATGGAGGGTGGTTTTTAGTATAATGAATCAAAGTATTCGACATATTGATAAAATGCTAAAAAAAACTTTAAATTAATTATGATATTTTCGAATGTGAATTAACCACATTTCTAACACATTGAATCTCATAAATGTAAATCCAGTGAACTCTTTTAAAATATTGATCATGGTTTTAATGGCAAATTTCATAAGTGATTGACATCAGTTAGAGAAGCATTAAAAACTAGAGATCACTGAACAACTATTAGACGACTGACTGTTCAGCAATGAGTACCCACCGCTACCCGATGAAGAATGGAACCTAAGACTTTCAAGTTGTGAAGCGTATCCGTTCACCATTGATCTACCGCGTTGGAATCCAATTACCTGTAGATTAATACTTTTATTAATTCACGACAAAGCGCTACCACCATCAAATACTTTTTAATATATTAAAGTAATGCAAGGCGTTTAAGTGATGAATTAATTTTAAAGAAAGATAATGTGTATAAGTTGTATTGTGTTGTCTTTTTTCAGTGTTAACTCTATGGTAAAAAAAACTATTTTTTGTTTTCTACATTTTAGAATCTCAGGACAATGCTAATCAAATAAAATCTCCATTTTCCTCTTGTACTACTGGATGTGAGCCATTAGTAGTTGCTAGTCAACCGATCAAACCAATAATCAGTGTTTCTGCAACTTCTTCATGTGCTTCATCAACTGATCACATTGATACATTGTCTACTTTCTCGTATTCTTCTTGTACTTCTTCTGCTTCAGGTATAGGATTAGTTTCTGCACCGATACAATTAACTAATGTGGTTTATGGTAATCCTAATCTTATTCCATCACACACTACATCGCTAACACCGTTTATTCCTAATCAAGATCTTACAACACATCAACCTAATCCACTGAATGCCTTCACCATGGTATTTCCTACACCAAGACCAATTACACCGACACCACAAACAATAAATGGAACTCAACCAAGTTTTTTCATATTACCTCAGCTAATGGTTTTGCCTAGATTTGTTGGCTCATATATACCAATGATATCTGCACCTGAACCTTATCCATCTATAATTAATCCTGTACACAGTTCAAGTTTAACTGAAACACGACCATCTACTTTTATGACAAGTTCACTTGTAACACCTATTCCAACAGTTCAACCAGAATATTCACCAAATCAACCAGTTCGTACAATTATTCTGCAACCACCTCCACAACCATCATTACCACTAACTCAACCAATGTCGATTCTTGGAAGTGAGACAGTTACAACACAGACTTCAGATGATAGTCATTTAAAACCAATTAATCAGAATTTAAGTAGTGATGAAATAAAGGAATTAAACATCTCAGATTCTAATAATATGCAAGTATCACAGCAATCCGTAAGTGGATTTTATAAAAATACAATTTTTTTCTTGTCTGATGATTAGATGCTAATACCGATTAACTGAATCGGATTACAGTTAGGCAGATTGATAATTTCTATTATGACTGTGACGCATTGATTCAGCCGTTTAACCTCCTACTAAGAATGATTTTAAGAGCGGCCCAACTACTTTTAATACTGTAGTGTGTGTGTTTTGTGTTCTCGAACATAGCACATGCATAATCAGTCAAGTGCTTCTGTTGTATTTTTTGGCTTATCTGTCTTAGAAGTCACTGATTTTAAAGCCAGCTAGCTGTGTAGTTGACAATTACGGCAATCCAGAAGGTCTTTAAATGTTAATATGAGCCATGTAACTAAGTGTAGACTTCCTGGCTAGAGTTTTTGGAGTAGCGATAGTCAATAGCTGAACATTGTTGGTGACATGCCTCAAAATCGTTCACGGCAGCAAAGATCTATTCACTTAGACTAGTCTTCATTTAATTACCTTACCTCCCGTACATCTTCATCCATTGTAGTTTCGCCTCATTTCTTTTCTCTACTTTAGTGTCTGAGTCTTCGAAATGTAACACTTTGAACTGATGCACCCCTATGCAAAGTACTGTGTTGATGAGTCAGTTAAATTTCATCCTGGCTATTACTCTTACTCTCTTAATCTAAGTCAATTTTTGATATTTAATTAGTCCCAATGATTTTAATTAAGTTCCCCAGGATTTCTTACTCACTATGATAAAATTTTTAAAGTCGTAAGTTACACTTTTTCTATGCAAACTGATTCAGACGTAATTTCAGAATAAAGTTACTACCTGAAATGTTGTCTAGAAGGACAGTGAAGACTTTTCAATTAGACCATCTACATCAGAGAATATAGACAGAGAATGCAGCAGCACTCAGAAGTAATTCAACTAAGCCACAAAACTTTTTTATTATTTCACAAATATAACTGTTAGGGGAGATTCTTAAATATCGCTGGCAAGTAGTCTACATTCAGTTTTAGGACTTTTAGTGCTTGCTCTTAAACCATAGAAGCAATAATTCCTAATTGTTTATTGAACTGATTTATTCGAGCAGATAACTTATATTTCAAATATCGAAGGCAATGAAATATAAGAAAAGAAACAGTTCAGTGAAAAGTTTCTTTTAGGAGAATTCATTCATTTAGCTGTACAATGGTATTTGTGCGTCGGTGGCATAGTGGTTAGGACGCTCGCCGAGGTCTGGGGTTCTATCCCCAGCCGACGCACTCCTTTACCTCGCTAAGCCAGAAATAATTCTGGTAAAGAGGGAAGGTTGGGATTGAGGCTAGCAACCCCATCCTGTAAAATTAACACTGCTAAAGAAACTTCAAGCCACTAACTTGAAGCCCTATGTTCCATTGGGGGACGTGAAGGAAAAAAATCGTATTTATATTTGATAATTTGTGTGTGTGTGTATGTGCGTACATTAGGATTGTTAAACAAAATTAAAAATTAGTTAGGGTTATTGTTTACGTCATCAAAATATTTCAAAAATGTGATAAATATTCAAATTGTAACTGGGGGGTGGGGTGGTGAAGATTGGTAAGTATTGAAAAGGGTTGCGTAATATCAAATAGGATGTTAATGGAAGAGCATGGAGACACATGTCCAAAATAAATTACGTAATAGGTAGAAAAAGTAAATAAAGGGTTAGTTAAGAAAGAGATGTTACTAAAATATTGTACAAAAATTCAAAAAAAGTATAATTAACAAAATATTAGAACTTGGAATTGTACCGAAGGTAGGAAGAGTAGCGGGTGGAGAAGTTTCTTCTGTTTACATAAATCAGGGTTTTCTAACCGGATTGCTATGAAATTATCATTGCAATCAAATATTTTGTAACAGTACATTTTAAAGTCAAACAAATGGGTACGGCACCTCATTTCACCTAACAAAGTTAGCCTATGCATTAAAAAATTAACAGTTTGTTTTATGGATGAACTCAAACAGTTTTGTTACTTTTTGTTTTGACTGGGTGGCTACTACTGTGGTGGTGTGATACGGACAATATGTGCCAAGGGAATAGTATTCTCACGTATTCTGACAGTTCAATACTGCATTAGCAACAGAATACTATGCATATATTTGAACATTCTATTTCATGTCATTTAATGTGAGCCAAAATCACACGCTCAATGATTGGTTAAAGAATATAAACTATATAAAAATATATAAACAGCTGTTTGATTAATGAAAATATGCCTTGGCTTCCGTGTCTTGCCTTCTCCTGTTACACTAATCAACAGTGAGACAATCTCGGAAAAAAATGGCACTATAATTAGCTCCCAGGATAAACGACTGGATCGTTGGAAAGAGCATTATGAGGAGCAGTTTAATTTGCCCACAGCCACGCTCAACCTTCCGAACATCCAACACCTCCCCGAATGGGATATAAACACAGGTCCTCCGTCACTAACTGAGGTTACTAAAGCTGTCACCAATCTGAAACTAGGCAAAGCAGCGGGACCTGATGGAATGACTCCAGGGGTATTTAAGTACGGTGGAGACAGCTTACTGTCCGGATTAACTGAGGTACTAGGCAGCGTCTGGGAATCAGAAGAAGTCCCATCGGGTTGGTGTAAGTCACTGATTATCCCCATATACAAGAAGGGAGACAAGTCTTCCTGTGATAATCACAGAGGGATTAGCTTGACTAATATAGTATCTAAAGTCTTAGGCTCAATAATCATGCGTAGACTGAGTGGTGCTAGGGAAGCACAAACACGAGAGAGCCAGGCAGGCTTTAGACCAGGAAGAGGGTGTATTGATCATATCTTCACCCTCCGACAGATTCTAGAACATAGGCATTCCTACCGGCGTCCAACAGTCATTATATTTCTTGACCTAAAGGCAGCATTCGACTCTGTCGATCGGGAAGTTCTCTGGAGATGCTTGGCTGTAAAGGGAATTCCGAGAAAATATATTGCACTGATTAAGGCACTCTACTCGTACTCATACAGCCAGGTGAGGGCTTACGGCGAGTTGTCATCTGAACTGGTGACGACCAGTGGTGTCCGTCAAGGATGCCCATTATCCCCTTTTCTATTCAACTTCATCATAGATGTACTAATGGACTTAACCCTAGGTGACTTCAGCGACTCAGGGATTGACTTGCTACCAGGGAAATAATCTCGTTGACTTGGAATATGCAGACGATATAGTCCTTCTAGGCGAAGACGCTGACAAAATGCAGAGTCTTCTAAACACCTTGAGCCGCAATCTACGAATGTTTGGCATGCGATTCGCTCCCGCCAAGTGCAAGATGATGTTACAGGACTGGACTACATCGATGCCTAGTTTAAAAATAGGAAGTGAAGTGGTAGAGCACGTTGACCGCTTCACTTATTTGGGAAGTACCAACAGCCAGTGCCAACGGGCTGATCTCTGACGAAATCTCAGCACGAATACAAGGGGCTCGTTTCGCATTTGTTAGTTTACGCCGACTCTGGCGTAGACGAGATGTTCGACTATCGACCAAAGGGTGGGTGTACTTCTCATCAGTCCGCTCCGTCCTCCTTTATGGTTGTGAGACCTGGTCACTGAGAGTGGAAGACATGAAAAGACTAGCTGTCTTTGATCATAGGTGCCTGCGCTCGATTTCCCGTGTAAAGTGGCATAATAAGGTGAGCAACATTGAGGTTAGGCGTAGAGTTCTAGGTAAACTGGGGAAATCAATCGACGAAGTTGTGAAGCTACAAAGACTGAGATGGTTAGGCCATGTGTTACGTATGCCTAGTCATCGCCTCCCTCGACGAGCAATGTTAGCGGATATAGGGTCAGGCTGGAAAAAAGCTAGCGGCGGTCAAACAAAAACTTGGCACCAGTCAATGAAATCCACAACAGTTGGTCTAAGCCACGTAGAAAGGTGTAGACTTCCAGGCTGGGGTCCTCGGGACGGTAAAAATCTATGGTTGGAAACAATTGGTGACATGGCTCAAAACCGTTCTCAGTGGCGCAGATGCATCCACTCCCTGTGACTTATGATCTTCAATGAAACTGTTTTGTTCTTCGTTATTACTCCTCCTTTGTCTCACACCTGTGCTCACTGTTTCTATTATGCTTTTCTTGTACTTTCTTCTCTTTCTTCGCGTGCTACACGGAGTGTGGTGACTTGAACTTCCGCACATTTGTGCAAAGTTCTATGTCGGAAACAGACAGACAGACTACTAGTCGACATTCCAGTTCGATTTTATCCCAAACAGAGGTAAAGAAAAAACTATGGAATACTGGATATTTATGTTTAAACTCATTTCAGTTGTTACAATGTCACAACAACTAACTCAGAGGGAGAGAGAGAACAAGGCTAATCTAATGTTCTACCATTGAATAATAATTCATTTTACAAAATAAATAAAATATATCTGTAGCTTTAAAAGTATGTTAAGCGACCCGATCAGACTTAACAACAAATAAGAACGAACGATATATTGTGAAGTCAAGGTCACTAATTGTTAATTGGATGATATTTTCGTCTGCATCATTATATATATGGAGAATATGACTCAAAGCGTATACTGTACAAATTAGTTTATTCTACAATAATTTTCATAACTATTCCTATCTTCATCTTCAGCAAAAGTGTTAAATACTTGACAATAAACACACACAAAAAAACAATTTTTATGGACAGAAAAATATTTTTAATAAGCACAATCATTTATTGATTGATTTGAACTAGTTTAACTTATAACTGATCCTTGTTGCATAAAGTTGTTGATCATTCTGCATATTAAGATATCCCAGGTTATTGATGCTAAGATATAATCAATTTTAACAGCAACAAAAAGTCAATTGAGTGTGTTTGAGCCATTAACTTGCATGTATATTGAAGTGAAGAGTTGAGTTCTGTGTGTGTGTGACAAAGCTGCTAGCTCTAGAAGAGTTACAATTTATTTTAAGCATACAGAGTCATTGTTCATTTTTAATGTACGGTAAGAATAAATTGTGAAAGTGAGGCTTTGAAAGTAGTCATAATTTCATTGGTTTTATGGAAATCGAAAGATGGTTAAATAGAAATTTATTGATATTCAAGTGTTGGTTTGTAGGGATTTGATTGGTTACAGGATTTCATCATGAACTGACATTATTTAGAAAAACATTGGAAAACCTGGGAGTGCTGGACAGCTGTTTTCTTCCTAGTTTGGGACTCTTCAGCAGTACGCACCCACCGGAATTCGAACCCAGGGCTTTCCGGTTACAAGGCGAACTGGTGGACCATCAAACCGCTGGGACCCGATCCAATGGCCGGCCCATGAATTCTAACTTCTGCCAGGCCATGGCATAGCGCGACCCCTAGCCAATATCTTCGGCGAGTATTTGTCCTCTCACCCGACCTGCTGCACTCTACTGGTCACGACTTCTCACTAGAACCCCAGGTAACTACCTACCTGAATAGGGCAAGTGTTGTTACCAAGTGTTTATTGGTAGTGCAAGTGTTGTTACACCTTAATTTACTCTTAATTTGAAGTACTTTATTATTTTTTATCTCGTATTCTTTTTTTAGTCGTTTTATCACCTTCTTCTAGTTGTTGTCTCTTTACTTATTTATTTCTACCTTCATGCTAGTTTCTTTTATACTTATATGCTTATCTTAAGTGTGATACCCTAGATCAATGACTTCTTGCATTGAATGTTATGTTATGTACTTTTTGTACTACTGATTGATTAGAATGAGTAGTTGTATACTGACCATTTCAACCAGTAGTATTTGCTATCCAGACCAAAGGGATCCAAACACCAGATGGGTGTTTCACTTGTTTGGGGCCTAGCTCATCAGCTTATATATATATATATATATATACAAATCAGTTCCAGTGATGCGATCCCTTGTTTCGAATTTCACCTCAAACTGTGTAAATAGCCAATAAATTTTTAGATTGTGAATTTGACTGTTAATGTGATTGCTTTAAAATTTTATAGATTTTTCCATCCTTTAACCACTATTGCTGCTTATTTGATGATTATGAGTTGAAATGTATAAATTGCTAAATACATAAGTATGATATATTATTTTATATTATTAGGAAATATGTTCAGTGAAAGATAAATTATTACTGCCCACTCTATCTAATCAGAATAATGCAAACTGTTCAAAGAAATCAGAATCGACAAAATGTATTTGGAGTGGACCGAATATTACAAAACCAGGTGAGTTATTGACTGTCTTAATGTTACTAGCAGTTATTAAACTAAGTGATTACGCTTAAATTGTTTTTTTTTAACTTCAAATTATTATTATTTTTACGAGTTGATCACGGATTGATATCAGTTAGAGAACCGTTGAAGACCAGGAAGTAGTGGACACCTGTTTCATTCTAGTTTGGGAATCATCGGTAGTGCGCACTCACTGGGGTTGGAACCCAGTGAGCAAGGACCTTCCGGCTGCATGGCAAGCTCGTATACCATTGAGCCACTGGGACCCATTCAATGGCTGGCCTATGAATTCTAACTTCTAACAGTTCGTGATTTAGCGCACCCCAACCAATGTCGTCGGTGGCACATCCATCCTCACACGTGACTGGATGGACCTCACTGGTCACAACTTCTCACTAGAACTCACTGCAGGAAACTCTGTCCTGTAGGAAGTCTCTGTCTGGATTCAACATAGAACTTGCCACCGAAGTGCAGCAGTAGGAAGTCTCTAGCGAGCATCAGACTCATTTTCAATAGTTGGTTTGTAAGGATTAGGAATCGGAGGGTCCTGGGTCCAAACTTCAGTGGGTGCTTACTGTCGATGAATTCGAAACTAGGACGAAACGGCTGTCTTTTATTAAGATCACTAAAGTGTGTACATAGATCTTCTCATAACTCCTCTGTTGGGGGATAGACACATGTAAAGCTTCAGATGTAGTTTCTACATTACATAAAATACGGCATAAATTCATACAAGAATCTATTTTTATTATTATTATCGTCATCATCATTTAATTCCTTTGCGTTCCCCATTGGAGCAAAGGACTTCGAGTTTAAGCTTTGAAGTTTTGGTAGCAGCAGTGCTTATCTTTTACTGGCTGGAGTTGCTAGCCTTACACTCAATCTCTCCTCCTTACCATCGGGTTTTCTGCCGGCTAAGCGAAGTTCACAAGTGTGTGTCGGGCAGGTGTCGACTCTCGAACGACGTGAATGGTTGGCGAGCATTCTACCACACTGAACGAACCACTGATGCACACAAGAAGCTTTACTCATCTAATGTCAGTAGATGTTACAGACATATAATCACACCGCTTTATTGTTATGACACAGTTTAACTATTCTCACAGTGTCAGTTTAGTAGAAAGGCTTTTAAAGCGAAACAAGTATTGCAGAAAGATAGATAGATATTTTTTTAGTCCATTTAAAACATTAATCTTTTTGTTTTTTTTTAAAAAAAACAACTTTATGACGCAAATTGGAATCAGACAAAGATCTAACGTTATTTCAGACGCTACTTGCAATTCACGTATAGCAATGCATGTATATTTCTGTTTGTGTGAATTGTCAACTGATCATAATATCTAATGGATCAACACTAAACAAGCAGTTTTATCTAAAATTACACAGAAATATCATTAATATATGTATTGCATAAAAAAAATATTAGCCTGCTTATATTATATATTTAGTATTGTTTATATTTTTTTGTAGTGCCTATAAGACCTGTACCAGAAGCATTTAAAGTCAAGTTATCCAATGTTTTACCATCATCTCTACAAAGTAAATCCGTGCAAGAACATCAACAGCAGCAACAACAGCAACATCATGGATTAACAGGCCAACAGACTGCTTCAGATCAAAGGGTGTTATCAACACCTGTTACTTATCATGATATGACAAGTAACTGTACTAAAACCACTGTCAGCTTGACAACAACTATCGTCAATACACTAACTAATTCCCCTGCTTACATGAACCCTACTCCTCCTCCTCCTTCTCTTCCTCCTGCTCCTCCTTCTCCTGTCTGTATTGATCTCGTTTCTCCGGATAAAATGTCAAGTGTTGACACCACCTTAGATACTAGTCCAGCATCTTATACATCTCAACAATCTCAGAATAAACTTGTTACAATCTTACCGGCTAATCAATCAGATAAAATAAATAAATTTCAATATCGTTCAATTCATCATAAGAAAAGATTAAATTTTGTAAAACATAATAATTATAAGAAGTGTTTATCTATTTCGCATAATCTACAAGTATCCACTACTACTAATAATACTACTACTGCTACTAATACGACGACATGTTTACGTGGAAAATATCGATGTCAAGATTTTCATTCATTGCATAGTATTAAGTTGTATCCTTTAAGAAAACACTGGCGTACACATACAAGTATTCGACCATATATTTGTCATCATTGTGATATTTCTTTTAAAAATCGTGGCAATCTAAGCAAGCATATGAAATCACGTTGTCATCATGACAAGTGAGTTGCTTATTTTCAATATTTTATATATTAATTTTATAGTGTTATAGTTTAAATTAAACTACATCTCAACACAATTTTGAACTGGTGATCTCTTTTGATTTGTATTTAGTTAGTAAATACTATGGGGCTGGAGTTCTCTAGACAACATAAACTGAAATAAGTGAAAGTGAGAATCTTATTCTACACAGATATTATATTGTAGACTTATGCTCATTACTGCACAAATCTGTGTACACAGTACAAGTCAGTCCTATAACTGTTTAAGGCTGTTTTAGTCATTCTATGAACAGCTTATTGATAAAAACCTATGAATTTATCAATAATTGATATAATCACATGTTTTCAAGAGAACACTATTTTTTTTTAAGACTCTCCTCAATTGCCTAGTACTGGGCTATGAGTGTTACACTTATTGTGTACGATTAGATGATAGTTAGTACCTGGTTGGCCACACTTCAGTATATAAAACATAAACTTGATGTATTATAGGCTCCAAAAGATGTGCCACAGAAAATCTCATAGTTTGTGCGACAGCTAGTTTACTGCCGGGCACACGAACCTATGCAGGTGCCTGCCTCAAGACGCCATTCCCCTTGGACCTTTGATTCGAATTCTGATCCACAAGGTAGTGGAACAGCATATGGAACTACATTCCAATGATTACCGGTGACTAGAACAAGTACATACGTCATTCGATCTTTTCAGACTGTGGAGCCCGTATAGAACAAAGGTTTGTAATCATGGTTTTCTAGCTCCCTTCGGTAAACCTCTATGTCAACCAGACTGGTCGTAAATGCTAGATGTTCGTGTTTACCCTTCCACTTTTGTGAGGAATACTCCAGGTGAGTGAAGAAAGTGAATAGGATTGGTTACAGGATTTGATCATGAGCTGACATTAGTTACAGAACCATTGGAAAACCTGGGAGTTTTGATGTGGTTTTGTTCTCTGAACTATCCAGCTCAGAGAACAAAACCACATCAAAATTATCCACCTGAGCTACAAATCTTCTCTATCATATCTAAACCTGGGAGTACTGTGGACAGTTGTTTCGTCCTAGTTTGGGACTCTTCAGGACGGGTTATTGGATCGGGTCTCAGTGGCTTAATGGTATACGAGCTCGCCTTGTAACCAGAAGGTCCTGGGCTCGAATAATAATAATAATAATTTTTTGCTTTATTCCAAAAACAGTACTAATGATACTTACTTTACTTTTACTTTACTTCGGCTATCTCCTACGGGAGGATGAGCCGGCTTCATGAACGTCTCGAATCATCGCTGCCCAGGCGCGGCGATCTGAAGCAAGGTTTTGCGATAGGGATATCCAATTCTTGTTCCACATACGGAGTCCGTAGACGGTTTGTAGCCCCAGGCACTCCATATCTGCCTTGACTGTACCAAGCCATGTCTTCAGCTGTCCGCCCCTGCGACATCGCCAAGATGGTAATGGCGAGGGATTTAGAACTGATTTGACCAGATCGTCATCTGGTCGGCGCAGAACATGGCCAAACCACCGAAGGCGGCGTTGTTGGACCAGTACTGGAATTTGGTTGATGTTGTAGCAACGACGACGCACTTCTTCGTTGGAGAGTTTGTCCTGCCAACGAACATGCAGAATGTACCTGAGACACCAATGGTCTACTACCTCGAGTCTGCGTAAATCTTCCGCGCGAAGAGGCCAGGTTTCACAGCCATACAGGAGAACGGGTCGTATGGAAGCTTGGTAGACCCGAATTTTAGTCCTGAGACTGATTTCTCTCTTGCTCCATAGAACGCTCCTCAGCTGTAGAAACGCATTCCGGGCGTTGGAGATTCGCGCATTCACTTCGTTTTTCGCTTGGCCGTTGGGGAGCATTATGGATCCCAGATATCTGAAGGATGGCACAATTTCAATAGGTGCTCCATTTAGGGATAAGATTTCATCATTGCTGGTGGATGTGTTCGAAAACATTTTGGTTTTGGAAGTGTTAATTTTCAAACCGATAGTAGGCGCGAGGTGGTTTATCTGGTCGAGCGCCTGTTGCATATCGGGGAAGTTTTCAGCTAACAGCACGACGTCGTCGGCGAATTCGAGGTCGGTTATGTGAATATCGGGCGAAAGTTGGACGCCGTGGTGCTCGGTTAGGGCGTGCCGCAAAATCCAATCAACTGTGAAATTGAACAGGATGGGGGATGCTGGACAACCTTGCCGGACACCGCTGGTTACCTCAAAAGTGCGGGACTCTTCACCGTTCACTCGGACTCGAGCTTTGGTGTTGGAGTAGTATGACCTGAGCAGGTTGATTAGCTTGGTCGGAACTCCGTCGAGCTCCATTAGATACCAGAGTGCTCCTCGATCAACTGAGTCGAATGCCGCTTGGAAGTCGATGAAGCAAGCAACCGTCGGCTGTTGGAATTTGTCCCTGTGTTCCAAAATTCTTCGCAGTGTGAATAATTGATCAACACAGCCTCTTCCAGGTCGAAATCCGGCTTGATTTGGCCTTGTTCGCACGTGGCGTTCGGCCGCGAAGCGGTTCAGGAGAATGGAAACAAAAACCTTAGCAGCGATATCAATCAGACTTATGCCTCGGTAGTTCTCGCATATTGACCTGTCTCCCTTTTTGTGGAACGGTAGCAGAACTGAGGTGCTCCAATCGGAAGGAATGGTTTCGGACTCCCAAATTGAGCAGAACAGCGAGTGCAGTGCATCGATTAGCGCTGGAGTGCAGGCCTTGTATATTTCTGGGGGTAGACCATCTTCGCCCGGAGCTTTTTTGTTTCTGAGTCTGTTAATTGTTTTAGCTATTTCGGTTGGAGTGGGTGGATCGCAGTCAACTACGTAGGGTGTTGGTAAGTGTCGTATCGGTCGATGAGACGGTTGACCAGCGTCGCGATTGAGTAGCTGCTTGAAATGTTCGGCCCATCGTTCCATCTTACCATTGGTGTCCGAAATAATTTCTCCTGATGCTGTGCGTAACACAGCATGACTGTTAAGGCGTTTGCCAGATGATTGGCGTATGAGGCGATAAAGTTTTCCGAAATCGCCTACATTTGATGCTGCTTCCATGTTAGTCGCCACGTTAGACCAATAGCGATTTCTGTCGTTCCTAGCAGACTGTGTAGCTTTGCGCCTGAGGGAGCGATAAACTGGAGACTTTGCTAGGCGAGCGTCTCTGGCTTGCGAGGATAGAAGCATGGTGTGCTCTGAAATCCAGTCTTTCTGCTTCTTGGATGTGGTACCCAAATGCGACATTGAAGCTTTAGAGACTACTTCTTTGAAATGATTCCATCGTGTCTCAGGTGTATTAGAAGATGTGGATGTTGGTTCATCTGCGGCGCTTAGTTCGGCCTGGATTTGTTTGGACAAGGCTTGTCGCTTTGTCGAACATTGAAGCGGGGCAACATTGATACGCTTCGGAGGTCGCGCCTTCTGGCGTGTCGTTAAACGAAGTTTGAATTTCGCCCTAACTAGAGTATGGTCTGATCCCCCTTTATTTCCGGCCTCTGCGCCACGATAGGATCGACAGTCTTCCACCGAGGAGATCCAGCGTGAGCGCACTAGGATGTAGTCGATCTGATGTGCAGTGCGACCGTCGTTCGAATACCAGGTGAGAAGATGTTTTCTAGGGTGTTGAAATCGAGTGTTGGTGATATATAATCGATTGTAATCAGAAAAAGCTAAAAGTCTATCACCATTACGGCAGCGCTGATCGAGACCGTGTTTGCCTAGTATATGTTTTGTCGCGTCGTCTGAAGGGCCAGTGCGGGCGTTCCAATCGCCGGCTACTATGAGAACGTCACGCTTTGGGATTTTGTTGATTGCCTCTTGAAGATTGTCATAAAATTCGTCTTTGATACTTTCATCAGAGTCGAGGGTTGGGGCATAGACAGCGAGAACAGAAATGTCGAGCGGGGAACCCTTGAACCTAGCGACTGCAACTCTGGAGTTGACCGGTTCGAATGATATTAGGGCATTATTGGCTTTGTTACTGAGAGCAAATGCTACCCCATGTTGTCCCGAATTATTCTGGGGTCCACTATGAAGCAACCAGAATGAAGAATCTGTTCCAGGTACGGCTATTCGGCGGGAGCCATGATCGGGTAACCTCACTTCAGATAGACACGCTATGTCTACCTTGTAGTCGTATAAAGAACGCATGGTGATAGACTGGCTACCAGGATCCAACAGCGTCCTAACATTCCAGCAGCCAACAAATAGTTGGTTTCTAAGTGTTAATTTCCCAGCTAGCTTACTTTTCACACTGGCCACCGGGTGAGCACAGGGCGCGTCGCTTACCGGGAACGCCGTAGCATGGTGAGAGTTGTTTGTAGGAGAGTTCATGAAGTTTCTTGGGAATTTGGTACGAGTGATGTCCCCAGCATCGCTCGGCCTTTTGTTTGAGAGTGCAGCTCTAGCCTTTACACAGCCAAGTGTGACCTACAAGGCAGTAGGAGTGGAGTAAGGAGTCCACTATCCATTGGCAGCCGGTGACCGGAGTTCGGTTCATACGCCTTTTTGAATGGGGCCAGACATCCAGGACATCCAACAAGCCCTTTGTCCATACGTCTGCCGGTGAGCTCCGGTGAGCTTCATACGCCAGTCGTTGGAGGTTTGGAATCAGGGTTTAGCCATCTCCCCTAGACTGTCATCCAATGGACAGTCAACCCGGTGGAGAGCGCCGGGCATCCGCTTTTGCCCTCTCACTTTAGTGAGAAACACCTCCGCCACGTGAAGGCAGTGAGTAGGACTTCCTCAGGAGAGGCTATGTAAGACGCACGGTCATATGGGAGCATTTCAAGAGGTGTGCGGAGGGGTGGCCAACCCGCAGCGCAAGGCACCCACCCCCGACCATCCTGAGGTTTTTGGAGGCAATGATACAGCGAGGAATTTTCAGCATTCAGTACAATATTGCATCTAATTTACTCAAAAACGACAAAAAAAAATTAAAAATACACATTACACAATAGTAATAAAACGATTGTTATAGCAGCTACATAGCAAAATACTGTATACCATACA